AGGGAGAACCACTACTACAGACCAAACCCTCCGGGATCCTCCCAGATCCTCCAGCGGCTTTGTGCGGCTGGCCGCGCGTTCCTTCAAGAACTAATTCCAACCACAGGACTGCCTTACTCGCTTTGATAACATCTGGGCTTATACTAGACTTGAGCTGACCAAGGTGGTAGCCACCAGCCACATGTGGCTACCGAGTACTTGGCACATGGCTGGGGCAGACTGAGGCTCGCTCTGCACTGAAGATGCACACGTGATGATTTCAAAGATTTCATAGAAAAAAGGAAAATATCTCAGCAATAGCTTTATGGTCACTGCTTGTTTACATACATTTTTATAATATATTCGGTGAATTGAAATATACTGAAATTAGTTTCACCTATTTTAAAGATCGAACATGGCTATTAGAAAATGTATAGTTATGTTTGTGGCTTGCCATTGGACAGTGCTGCAATAGGCTGAGAACTTATCTGGGGCCCTAAAATGTAACTGTTCGGCCAGGTGAGGTACATATTAGTAAGTGAGAAGGGTACCAAGACAATGCCACCAGAGTGTTAGATAAAAAACTAGAGCAACTAAAAACTCATTGTCAAATAACTGGGTTATCGCTGCTGATGTAACCTTTACCCTAAAGGGCCCTCCTCTGCCTCCTGGCTTCCTGGCTTCCTGGCCAAGGAACTGAAGGCCTCTGAGGAAGCTTTATGGGGTCCCACTAAATGCCCATCACCATGGTCTCCACTGCGCGCTCCCACCTGTTACAACCAAGAACTCTGAGTAACTGACATGTTAAGCAACTGATAACACTTATTGGAGTTGGCAAATAGCATATTTTCCTGTAACTAATTAAAGCTTGTGCTTTGTTTTTTCTTAATGATCAACATTACAGCTAAACTAGACCTCACAACACCTGGAGAGAGACACACACACCCACCCACCCCCACCTCCCACCGCCACAGTCTGCTGCAGGAGAGGCCAGAAGCTCTGGAGAAGGCTGTTAAAACCCTTAGAGTGTAGGTAATTATGGTGGTCAGTGGAGAATGGAGAGCACTGGAAATAAATAATAGTGTTATGCAGGGAGGGACGGGGGGAGGGGGGGCTGTCCTTGATCAAAAGTGGCCACATTTGCTCCAAATCTCCACTTGGTGAACTCTGTCATTCCCATGCACTCAATGATCAACGTTCACTACTATTGGTCGCTGCCCTGACGGGCTCCTGCTCGCTAAGGGCTAAACCTATGCTGGGGGACTCCACCTCCCCCTTCACTGAACCTTACCGACACCCCTGAGAGGTAGGTGTGATACAGTGAGGCAACGGAGGCCCAGAACCTTCGGAACTTGCCCAGCATGACACAGCTACTGCGGGGGCTTGTAAGGGGCACAGTGCAGACCACATCACCATTGAGGATGACCCTAAATCCTGAGGACCTCCAGGTACCAGGATAACCGGCCCGGTGGGGTGGGGGCTTTCTCCCACCACATCCTTAGGGCAGAGACAGCACAGATATTAGACCAGGCGCCTGTATGCTACTCTTTACCATGTGCGATGCTCCTTAATGCAGAGCATTCTGTCACTGACCCGAATGCACTAAGAGCCCTGTTAACCTGTCGATTAAATACGCAAGCCTCAGACAGAAGACAAATGAAAAGGCATCTTGGGTGTTGCCAATGATCCATCCAGAGCCAGCTCTTTCTCTATGTCTGGTCTGCAGACGCTTGGTGACTTTATTCTACAGTTCCCAGCTTCACAGAGATGAACAGAGAATGGAGTGGAAGGTAATGGAAAAGCTTCGCCTGGGTTTTGTGTACAAATCCTGGGAGAAAAGGCAGTCTACCACTCCCACATAAAGAGCTGTAATTACTAGCTACAGAATAGAATTCTTTTGTTGTCCAGCTTTTAATTTGTTTTGTAAAAACCATGAAGAATCAAAGCGCGCTACCAATGGTTTCAGGCAGACACAGAACTAATCAAATCTGTTCACTTATTTCAGTCCACATGGCTCCTTAAGGTGGCAGACAGGCCAAGTGTCCCCACCTAAATCAATTCCAAATTTGGGTCCTTTCGGTGTTGCCCTCTGGATCGCCGCTTGTGAACCACAAAAAAAGGAAGAATGGCAGAAATGTAAGGGCTGAGTAT